GCAGACTTGACCAGATGTTTTTATACCTGTTTTCCGCACAAAAGTCGACATGAATACATTCCATTGGAATCGCATAGCGCGACACAACCGACCACATCTACAAAATGCAGTAAAAATGGCGCCAAAAAACAAACGTTAAAGGAGGTGACACAAATGAACTGTGTAAGTTTGCCTCCTTATCAGTGGTTCCTAGATGGGTCCCCAGATTTTGTATTTTGAGGATGGCAAAATGTGATAACGGGGTAGTGATATTTAGAAATTTTTTTAAGGTGACTGTAAATAAGGATTGGGAACCATTGCTGTTTTACATTTTAAAACCTGCAGTGCCCTCTTAAGGCACGGGCACACTGGGCAGTTGCCCAGGGCATCACACTTCTTGGGGCATCATGCTGCCCATATTGTTAATGAATAGAGTAGGTCTGGTAGAAGGCATAAGCATTGCTTTGCACAGCCCCTACATTGTTGTTTATGCATCCATTTTGATCAAAGATTTATGTAATATAGCATAAGCTACTTTTTGTTGTCTTTTGTTTTTGGTCCAAACTTCTAACACTTCCAGTATAAGTAAGTTTTGGGTACTGCCTCTATTGTACACACTTTAAATTTTTAATGACATGAATGCATTTTATTGGACTTGTAGGAATTTTAATCATCAATACACTTTGAGCAAGGCTTCAGCTAAATAATAAATCATATTGCTATAATATATTTTACATATTTGAATTAAAAGGAGACATCAGTACCACTGCTTGAATGAAAACTGTCATTATTGTCATGCATTATCTAATTTAATATAATGCAGGATGATGGATTAGAAAGGTGATAACAATGACCAGGATATTTCCTAATATGGATCTAATTTATCAGCATTTTAGAATCCCTGTCACCTTTCAGATATAAATAATCATCAGATGGAAAAATAATGCCAGCCTGGATTATATACTGTTTCCATTTTTCCTGTCAGTTGTGAAAAATGAACTGATGGAGATATGGTTAGAAAATGCACTGATTATTATAAAATAAATAATATAAATAATAACTTAAAATATATTTAAGATATAAATTATTAAGATATTCAAGGTGACTTTGCTTATATGTTGAATCATCAACTGCGTTAGTTAGGTGATCTCTTTGGTAAGAAAATGTTGCAGTTTTAAAAGTTCATTTAGATGTGTAAATTTTAATTTAAAAAATAGGTTTTTAATGTCAGGAAGGTTGAAGATAATCATTCCTTTTTGAAACAAATTTGTTATTGACATTTTAAAAGAAAGAGTTTGCACTTTTGTGTGAATGAGTTTTGATGTGCCATAGTGAAGGGATGTACATGTATATATTAGGCCAAAAATTTTTGTTTTTCTTATTGCACTGGTTTTAAAATTAGGATTTATATATATATATATATATATATATATATATATATATATATATATATATATATATATATATATATATATATATATATATATACTGAGTTCTTCTATGTAAGGGCAAAACTGGCTCATGCAAAAATCAATTTTTGGGAATTCTTTTGTTTGGCAAGGTAGAAAAATAGGGTCAGCAGTGAGAAACAGGAATGGTCAGACAATCAGAATGTTTTTGTTACTTTATTTCCCTTTGTTATGGTAATCTATGTATCTATAATAATTTTTAATGAGATTTTGACACTGTCAGTCAAGTTGGCAGTGCTGATAACTTTTAAATTTCTGGTAAAGGACTTATTTGGCCTTTTTTCATTTTGTTATGGTAATCTATTCATAATAATTTTAAATGAGATTTTGACAGTCTGTCAGTCAAGTTGGCAGTGCTGATAACTTTTAAATTTCTTTCAAATGATTTATTTATTGACTTATTTATTTATTTATCCTATTTAAAGATCTTGTGGTTTGAAAAAGAAACATTTTGAAATTTGATATGACATGCATTTTGCTCCTGTAATTTTAAAGTTGGAGTAACATTTTAGTATTATTTGACAATTTTTAAAAATAAAAGGAATCAGCAGCTAGCATGACACAGAATTTTTCATTGGCCAACATAGTCAGCTCACATGGTAATCAAATGGTCCTGTGGATAAACAGGTTGCCCTCCCAATCAGTAATCTCAAACAAATTTGACTGACCTTCCAGCAGTGCAACTAGACTATTAACTTGCCCTCATCAAAAGCAGAACAGGTTAAATTGACCTCCATGGAATGGGGTAGAGTAACATTTACTGTTGTGTGTATAAAATTTGGTGGTTATGTAGCAAAATGAGATTTTAAGTTAACAATTTATATTATAGCATTTTTGAGTAGTGATAAGTTCAAAGTAGTATGGTAAATGTTGAATTTGAATGGAGGTTATGTTTGGTATTACTCTGTAAACATTAAATAAGCACAAGGTATAGAGAGCTGATTAATTATATTAATACTGTATAAATATTTTGATAGAAATACAAGATAACTTGTATGAAGTACATCTTGCCTGCCATAATGTCAAATTATGAATGTCTGAAGATGTTATGGTACATGAGAAGGATTATTATTAACTCAGAGCATAAATAACTGGACATTTTCAGCAATATCACAGTACCTTCATTAGTAATTTATGTTGATCATGTGACTTATAATGGTCACATGATATAAGGAGACTGGTGTAGATGGGTGGTAATTCAAGCCCCTCAACCCTGTTTAGTATTGGCCTTCACTATCTTGTTTTTTTTTTGACACTTAATGATCATGAACTGTCCAAAGCAAGGAAGCTGCTTATTTAGTGTAGTCCATGAGAAGTATGAGTATGAGATAACACTCCATGAGAAGTATGCATATGAAATGAATACTGTCATGAATGCATGGCATAAAGATGCACTTTGCCCTGTTAGTGAAATTTACATGAACACAATATGAACTTCCTTGATATTTTGATTTCCTTATTATTCCAGTCAATTTTTTTTTTATTAAATTAAGGTGGAAATTAAGAAGCAAAATATATTTGATGGAGATGATTCACTAGAAGAAAGATTACATGGCTTAAACATTGTTCCAAAAAAGGAAGTGAAGCAAATGGGTGCGACAGTCATTTCATGACATAATATTATGTCATGACATAATATTAATTGGCAATGTTTAGTACCATTTTTTATACTAGAATGCCTTAAAGACAAGAATTTTAGTGAAGAAAAAAGACCATTAACTTATTTTGATAGACATAAATAATATTGATCAAACCTCTATTTACATGTACCTCTATCAGAGATACCTCATACCTCTGTTTAACCTGCATGTACCTGTGATACACATATACCTTATCTATACCTTTATCCAGGGCTATCATAAAAAGCAGGTGACATGGGCAACTGCTTTGAAAACCAGTTTAAGGAGTTTGCCATATTTGTTTCTGAGTGGTGGGTCCTGAGTGCCCTAGACATTGTTTTATCTGCATCAGATTTGTGATGGCTGTGCCTTGTATCACATGCACCTTAGTTGGATATGAAAAATATATTGAAGCTCATGATTAATTTTATCTCCTAAGAAAAGAAACCCATTCTGTCAATTGTAGCCAAAAATAATTTATAATTGGACAGGAAAAAAGCCCTGAAAGAAATGGTTAAATAAGGTATATTTAAGAATGACAAATACACAACATGCGGTTCCAATCTCATCTTCAGTAAGTACTTAGTATTGTCAGTAGTGAAGGGGTATTTTGAATTGTCTATGTAGATTACAAAACTTTACCATAATATCATGATCTTTGTAAAATAAAAATAATTGTACAGCTGATGCTGTAGACTTTACGTTGATTGGTGTTGTGATTCAGGACCTAGACTTGTGTCATTTATTGGATACTGGATCATCCATTTTATTGGTGTTTTTTTGGTGTTACATATGAATATTTGGGATGTTGTTATTTCATGAACTAAAAGAGTGATTCCATATTGGGTTGTCTAATCTTGTGTGTAAAGCAATAGCATGATATATAATAGAATGCCCAGGGAAATGCACTAGTAGTATGTAGAATGATATTGGACTGTCTTTCACAGTTTGAAGCAAACTGAAGCTGTAATAAGAGAATAATAAGCTCACGATGTAAAAGACACTAGTTTATACCACCACCCCTTTTTAATGATATGCCCCTTTTAAAAATTGTAGAAAGGAATTAACATGACATGACTTTTGCTTTAAATAGATTGGTCTCATTTGCTTTATGCACATACTTAAGTCAGATGCAAATTTTATAGTGTTTCATTTTTATCCTTTGGGGTGGCACTTTGAAGAGTAGTGTTTTTATATGTCATAAGTTTTATTTACAATTTGTTCTATTAGGTATGATTCAGATGGACAAAAGATGATGGAACTTGTGTTTTGTTCAGTTTAAGGTCAAAATTAAGATTAGAAAACTGGCAAGTAAGACATATGTAGGGGTTTCACCATCTGAAAGTGGGGCAGGACTACAACTAAAATAACATGGTCAAATCAGTCTGTAGCCTTGGATGCAGATAACACATAGAACTGGTGTCACATTAGTTTTTGTATTAGCAGAAGATATATACTGCAATTGTCACTTTGGATGAAAAATCTTTATAATGCAATCTAATATATTCTCAATGAAGTGAAGCAATTTTGAACTGCATTTGTAAGAGCAAAAATTTAAAGCAAGTCAGCTTTTGTGTAATGGGGACATGGGAGTTGTTAAATCTGTTATCTCTCATGTTAATAAACATAAAATGTGAATTGTAGTTGCAGTGACCTACATTTGGTAAATTGGCGGTGCCAAGTGTTTGGATCACAGATAAGCAGGTAAGACAGCATTCAACAAATGTTGCTGTCGTTTCCATTCTTTTATAAATTTGTTTCAAATTGTAAGTAAAAAACAACAAGAAAAATCATTCATTTGGTTTGAAATTATGTTTCATACAATATTTCACTGACTCCTGATGAGTGGGGGGGGGATCAGATTAACAGTGTAAATATGTATCATCTTATTACTGTGTATTATATTTTGGGGATCCTTGGTAGCTCCGCTCCATTGGCCTAGTGGTTAGAGTATCCGCCTCAGATGCAGGAAGCTGTGGGTTCGATCCCCGGTAGATTTATTCCAAAGATTTACAATAGTGGTACTAACAATTGCCTTGCTTGATGCTCAGCATTAAGAGGTTAGTGTTAGGACTGGTCGGCCTGGTCTCAGGGTGGGACATCACACTACATGTCTGGGACATGATGCCTCAGTGCTAGACATCTCTATAAACTGCCACACTGCAGACATCCTAGCAATATGACTGAAAAATTGTTAAAGCTCCGTTAAAAATTATAAACACCAAACACCACACCTTGGTAGACTGTCAGTATTATAATCCATGGGTTGTGGGTTCAATGCCCACCCAGACTAGCACACATGGGCTTCAGTCCTTGGTGTGTATTTGGGAAGAACACTCAGCTCTTATTATTGCATTCTTTTTGATAGCTTATTAATAAAAATTTGTATGCATTCTTCTCTTATGATTGCTGTAACCACACTGCTGCTGCAATTAAGTTTTTTTTATAGGTACTCAAAGATATATATTTTTATAATAAGACACATTTGTCAGTTTCCTAGGCCCTGTAGGGGAGAACATAAAAATATTTCTGTAACTAGGAACTATAAGGCTTTGGCATTTGGGATTTTTCCTTGCTTTGCAAATGTATTTTTGAAGTTGTCAAAGACACAAAAGAAATTGATATATTTGATTTGATTTGGACCACCAGACTTCCAAGGTTTGATCTATGGTTTGGGAGTTGTCAGTTTAGCTTTGAGAAATATAAATGTCCAGATTAAATATAATGGCAGGACTGATATGGATTATTTGGATTGAAGTGATGTATGTTTCTCACCCTATAATGGCAGTTTTGGGGTCTTATGTAGATTTGATTTTATGTGAGAAATAGGAAGAAAATTGAAGCAAGTTTGAGGAAATTATCCTTAATTTTATCAGGGATCATCATAACACAGTCAGTGGAAAGTGAAAAATGAATACTTGCCTAGTGTAGCTGTTTTTCTTTTTTAATCCAGGGATTTAGAGGAATTAAGAACATTATGTTATTAAATGGCTACTTTCATATCCACCTTGTTACAGGTCCAAGTTCTGTTGTATTTGCAAAGGGACTGTTGCATTGGCCCAAGGCACAGACCAAGGCCTGTGGGTCAAAATGACTGACCCTGGACCTATAATAAGCTGAATGTGAAAACTCCCCATTTTATTGTATTAATTTGCATTATCCTAGGCTGGGTCAAATCCCATCAGCTCAGTACAGTGCATCAATATTGTTGTCCTCTTTTCATACAACTATGCAATTAAACATTTTTAAGGACCATTTATGAAAGTGAATAGAGAAAGGTTGTAGTTTTTACAATACGTGTTCATATTTCTGGATGTGGACATTAATATTTTTACGAATTTTACTCTAACTGTTAAGGTCTGAGTTGGAAACCTGTTGAAAAGTATGAAGTAAATAGACATTTAATGGAATTGTATTTCTGAATAATGTACAGTGTTACCAAATTGAAATTATATTTTAATGTACTGAACTGTTTGGCAACAGTCAATATAAATGACTTAATATGGGACTTATAGTATTATCTAATGTTTTTAAATGAGATCCTATAGGGCCTGTATACAAGGGGAGGGGTGTTAGTGCAGCCTTATACAGGGCCTATATGTTTCTATCTAATGTTTTAGAGGAGTCATATGGGGGGTGGGCTTAATGAGGCCTTGTAGAGGATCTATATTAGGGGGCTGCAACTTATATTTATTAAATGTGCCACTTTTTTTCCAATGAATTACAAAATGAATGAGCCACAAATAAGAGAATAACATTGTTAAAATTTAGATATTTGGCTGCTTTTTATGTGCCACATAAAACTATGGAAGTGAGACCTTGTGGCATGGTTGCCAACCCTTAATATATGGTTCTATGAACTGTTTTAGGCCTCTGTAGGCCTTGCATTCAGGCCTCATGTAGGCCTTGCATATATGGGACTTATGATCTATATGATTCTGACAAATAACCTTTCACCTGTTTTGCCATCATTTGGTACTGAGTTTTAAATGTACCTAGCTTAACTGATAAAATAATCATAAATTGCACATGCACCAAGGGGCATGTTGGTAGGTCACAGTCTGTGTAACAGGAAAGTTTATACACATGTCATATTTACAGTAGCAAAATCATATGTCTGCCCAATATCAACATGTATTGCAAAGCCCCATATATGATAGGATAAATACAAGAATAATAATATTACATGTAAAGATTATGAAGACTAGGGACTAATAATTATTAATGGTTGTTGAAGATTGGTACAGTAGTAACATTTATAAGGCAGGTATTGTTTTGCATCTATTCTCCACCTATAGTATTAATGTACCTATTGAAACAGCACATATAATGATTCTTTTGCCTCTAAAATATTTTGTCAGCTATAATTTGTAATATTCTTCATTAGTAGTTTGAAATTTGAAGATGTGTGATTTACACTGAGAAATTTCACTCAAAGGGCATACTCCTGTTATATACATGTATGGAGATGTAGCATTCCATTACTCTAGATTCAATTAGTCAAAAGTATCTTAAGTGATGAATTTAGATTTATCAATGATGGTAGGATTTAAAATTGTGTCTAATACTTCACAAAAGGACAACTAATATTATACTTAGTGTCACTTCCCATTCTAATTCTACCCACCCTCTCTTCAATCTCCACTGGAACACCCTTTTCTGTGTTCAAGTTCTAGGGATTGCATTGAGAACAATTCAGCAGGATGACATATATCCTAAATTTATTGCTTGCAAATGCATTTGGAAAACCATGACTTTTTCTTGTTTGCAGAACAGGGATTGTTTAACTTTGGCATGATGATGGCATTTGCATTAAAAAGTGGTGGTAATCTTATTAGACTGGCAGCAACCAATTGCATGTTCAGACTTGTGGAAAAATATCTCTTGTATTCACCTCAGCTAATGTTGCTTGACACCTTGGTCTGGTCTTTCTGATTATTTATAAAGGCAGATTTTGTGAGTGTAGGCTTGGACTTGATATATGCATTGAAAAAAAAAACAAATTCAGGAAGGATTGTCATGGGGAAAAAAATAACAAAAAGATCACATGATAAAATGGCAGAATTGTAAAGCAGTCATTAATTTTTGTTAGAAGATAAACAATGCACTACATGAAGGCAATAAAACTTTCTATAATTTATCAACATGATTAAATTTTTACATGATTAATTATAAATAAACAAATAAAATACAAGGTAGTGTTTATTGAGTAACTTTTTCGTAATTTATCAATTATAGGTTGTGATTGTGCTTTTAAAATGTCATAATAAAAAGAAATTGAAATTGACAATGTGTGCCTAGCAATTACATTCTGAGTAACAGAAAGGAAAATTTACTAATATTTTGTAACTTTTTTTTTCTTTACTTTTATCTGCACTACACTTGTCATTATAATTTATATTTATTAATATATTAGTTCTTTGTATTTAACTTAGCAAGGTTTACTTGAGCTGTATATAATGTTCACACATTTTAACTCTTTGTCCATTGACTGTTAGTGCTATGATCATTGAACATCCCATCATAAACATGATTTTTCTATAACTTGTTTTTGTATGTAAGAGTCTCTTCCTATTTTCCTTAAATTCACAGATACTTATAATCTGATTTGATTTAAAGATTAATATATATATTGCAAAAATTCAACTTAAAGAGTGGAACAAAATATAATTTAATACCTGTTGTTAAATTTGATCTATGTATATTTTTAGTTTCATGGACTGATACATGTTGAGTTAACTTATATATATATATATATATATATATATATATATATATATATATATATATATATATATATATATATATATACACATATACACACACATACACACACACACAATTAACTGACCACAAACAGTGTGAAACTAGTAACTATCTAGCCTGAGCATTAGTTTGGCATTGTTCATTAACAGGATATTGTATCTATCTTAATCAATCTCTGACATACATGATCCCTTGCTGGATCCAGTGCCTTGAAAGGGTTGTTATTCCCATATGATTTGTACTCTCTCTCTCTCTCTCTCTCTCTCTCTCTCTCTCTCTCTCTCTCTCTCTCTCTCTCTCTCTCTCTCTCTCTCTCTCTCTCTCTCTCTCTCTCTGTGTGTGTGTGTGTGTGTGTGTGTGTGTATATATATATATATATATATATATATATATATATATATATATATATACACGTGTGTGTATGTGTATGAATAACATTTTTGTCAGATTGGGAATTAACTTATTATCAATTTACAATTCAAGAAAGGTATGTGTTTATATTTGTTGGGGAAAGTATTACCTGGTCATCTAGGTGGTAGCAGTACTGTAAATACCACTGATCTTCTTACCAATGTTAATATTTAGAAGTCTGACATAACCCAGATAAAATAACCTGTCCTTCCACTCCAGATATCCACATTCCAAAGATTCAGAACACAAAGAAAAGTTAATTTCCTGTACCTTTAGGAAAAAAGGTATGGCTTTCTATTTCAGTGATCCCTGCTTGCTTGGGAATTAGCTCTTTTAAACCCAGTCCCTTTGTAAAGCATTTTGTTACATCATCAGCATCAAGGAGTGACCAATTAGTATCTTAAAGTCGATAAATCTTGGTCTCTGCCGTCCATGCAGGACAAAAGATTATTTCATTTGTTTGGATAAGGCAAAGAAATGGTGCCTCCTGCTATATAGCCCCCAACTAAACAAAAATTGTCCACAGGCTTCCTTATAAAAACTTGAAAGGGAATGGGTAAATACTGGAAAAATGTGACAGTTATTTGGCAAGATTTCATAGGTAAATATTTTATATGGAGTTGAAGTGACTCTATAGTAGAAGGGGTTGTTTGAATAAAATTGCATATATTAAGTTAAATTGGTTTAGAACAGGGCAAACAAAAATCTTACTGTTGAGGAATATTTGCATTTAATATTTCTAAGCTTATGTTTACCTTGTTAAATATGATCCCCCACCATACCAGACTAATCTAGTGGGTGCTGGGCAAACTGTTGCACA